TGTGCTGTCATCTTTATCTTGGGTGTGATTTTTTTTTTTTTTTAGCTAGTGAGGATGTGAGGGACAGAAGGAGCCTAATGGGAATTCATACACTGCGTGATGTATGGTGCACTTGCAGTCAGAAATATTGAACTCATAAATGTACTCATTTGCCCTGGAGTCACTGAGAGGGAGACTAACTACAGGACACCGCAATGTCACAGTCACGCAGTCACTTCTGTAACAACAGAGCTACAGTAGAAAGGCCGTATTTTTCTTTGATTTTACTGCAAATCTGTAAATGAGCTCTGTGAGGCTGCTATCATTGGCTGGAGGAGAAGGTGCACTTTTGCTGGATTTGGCTGTATGCAGACCCCTTTTGCATTTTGTTGTTTTTCTGAGATTCTGAACATTTTGGGGTGCTATTTTGAAGCGACCCTGCACATGCTGTCTGTTCTGTCTCGTGTCTCCACCACAGCACTGCAACCCTAAGCTCTACCAGCTTGCCCTTCAAGCATGAAGGTGAAATGACGTTGAATGTGCACATCCAAGGCAGATGGTTAACACCAGCCTTGCAGTCGTTGAGAGAGATTTTCTTCATGTCATTTCAGCAGCACAGAAGGAAATGAAAGTGTTTCTTACTGTAAATACTTTTCTCTCTCCCCCTTCCTCTGCACTGTTGTGAGTGTCTGAAGACTCACTTCACTGCTTTTCTCTGAGAAGGCTATTTCTGTCACATCTTAGATCAATTTAGGCCTGTCCTATGCACGTATGATAAAGACAGGATGGTGTTATGGTAGCCTTGAACAAACTTGTAAATTTTGGACACTGGGAGCAGGAGGTGAGATGTAATTGTCATTGCTAAGAAGTCAGAGGGGCCAAACCACTGGCGGAAATGTGGAATTATCAAGCAGAGCCAAATTGTTTGAAAAACAGTGCAGACCACAACACAAGGGGTTTAAACATTTCTCAGAAATGTGTGTATACGTGTAATTCTACCGTGTGGAGCTTCCTTAACGGGCTGTGTCTATGTCTGTGTCCAGAGAAACAGCATGGAAGTATAAGATTCCCAGCCACATCCTGAACAGCTGTCACAGTTATTCCCCAGCGCATCTATTAAGTGCGTCTAAAAAAATCCAGATGTTGGCTTTAAAGCTATGGTGGTTTACTTCCTCCAGTGAGCGAGACGGTTTCTGCTGCGTTGCTTGTGTAATCCACCTCGGCACTCAGTGCAAAATGCCAGCGTGCTTTAAGCCATCTCAATGAGTGTGAACAAAGTATCTGGCCCCGTGTGGCCCTGTAGATAAATGATTCACAGCAGTTCTTCAAGATTGGCTTTTCAGTCTCGTCTCTGGGATCTGCACTCCTAACAGAGCCAGAGTGGCTTTCGGGCTGCATTCAGCCTAGTTTTGCAATGCAACTTAGCTTCCCGTAACCTTTATTCTTTGCCTGGGGTGGCTGTACGGGAGCCCTTTCCTGCATGGCAGGTACCATTCGGTCACTAGAAGAGCCCGGCAAAGTTCAGGCTGGCAACGTAGCCTTTGCGTACAGAGGGAGAGCCTTCTTCCACACCTCCTGCTGGTGAGACTCTCCGTGACTGATCGTTGTTGGTATTTCAGAAAATCAGCACACTGCATGTACGGTGCTTTATCTGACTGGACTGATTTCTCTTCCCTGGGTGGGGATGCTGTACTTTGATAAACTGGAAAAGGATGAAAGAAATAGGTGTTTCACCTTTGCCCGGTCTCGGCGTTAGCATCTTCCTAAACGGGGTGAGCTGACCGGGAGATATTTTTGTCTCTCCTCACCTCTCAGCCCTATTCTCACACTTGCAGCTAGCTCCGAGGTGCGGGACTTTGCAGAGCACATCGTGGCTCGCGTTGGTTCAGCCCGAGTTCAGTCACCCAAAACCTGGCAGGTCTATTTTGAAACATTATTTAATCTGTCCACTATGGAGTTTCTTTTCTTTTTTTTTTCCACTCTTGCTTCTGACATCATTTCCTGAATGCTATATTCACTGTGCTCTGTAGCCAGATCGTCTTCTCAGCATATGATTCAAGGAGCTCTTTAAAATGGATTTCAGCTGTCCTTTTACTCTCCAGTGCTTGCTGGTGATAACAACTGTTACGCATGGTAAGTGGGATTTTTCTTTATGAAGTTGGCGCAGATTTGCCTAGATGAGCAGACACCTTAATTTTGCTCCAAGATCTTTTAAGGACTCTACCAGGTTTGGGGAGACGTCAAATAGTGTAACTGCTAATGCATGAAAGGGACAGTCAGACCAAAGTAAGACAGATTATTTTTTTAGTAAACAAATGATAACTAGCAATATAGTACTTTCTCAGTGTACTGCATCTGTAAAAGCATTTCAGCAGAGACCGTAAGGTCCTTGTACGCAGAACGCTGGCTGGAGGGGCTGGAGAGCAATGTGGTCCTGCTCCTAATGCTCGGTGTGACCTTGGGTTAGTCCCCGAGCTGCTGTCGCCCTGCCATTTACCCATCTCTGGTTTGCGTGCAGCAACTTAATAACGTGCAAGGATACTGGGAGGCTGGTTCAAGTTAAAACTGCGACCTTAGTCTTTGGGTAAAAGCAGCTGTGCAGGCAGCCGTTGTTTTTGCTACCCTCTGTACAAGATCCATGGCATTGATGCCCTGAGGATCTTTCTTTGCACAGCCTCTCAGCTCTGAGGGGGGGTGGTAGATGGTCATGTCAAATTTGGGGAGAGAAAAGACCAGCTGCTCAGCCTTTCGTCGCCCTGTGCGCATGGCGTGCACACCACTCCCATGTTAACAGGGGGGAAAGTTGGCCTTTATAGAAAGCTTCCCACTCCTCTAATTTTCAATTACTGGTGACCCCAGCCTGTCACTAGGGGTGGGTCTGTTCCTCTTAAGTCTCACCTGGGCATTTACCTTTCTGGGAGGCAGCCGAGGGGGGATGGATGGACACGGCAAGCTCGCTGCCCACACTCCGTGTCTCTCCTTTCAGGCTCTGTCACCCGGACCGGTGTGCTCAGCGGTGGCTCAGCAGTCTTTTCTGTGGGAATTCAAAGTCTGCAGAACCTCTCCAAAATGAGCAAGAGGGATGTGAGATGCTTGACAGCTGTCTTAAATGATACTTTGTTGGCCAAGTGCGGCACTTCTGCTGGCAGATGCCTGAACTTGCAGAATGGCTCCCTAGTGCTGAGGAGTGTGGAGAAAGAGGACGAAGGAAAATATGAGTTTGTTTTTCACAACACCACCAGATTTTTTACACTGGAAGTATTTGGTAAGTGGCCTTCTTAGCAACAAATAGCTTTTGAACTTGTGAGCCTGGCTGGAAGCTGGTGCCTTGAAATTCTTCCTAAGAGACTGCTTGAGCTTGCAGGAGCTATAGGTGCCTCCGGAACAGCTTTGTAAGCCTCTGGCACCTCAGGGAGCAGTAATGGTGAGTGTAAACTGAGGGATGCTTTTTGCATCCACGTTGTCAGTCTCTCCTGTCTGTTGAGCCTTCCTTGAAGTAGCCGGTCAGTTGAGCTACGTGCTATTTTTCCCTGATGTAAGAGACAGCAGCATGAAGTGTTTGTGAAGTTGAGCCTACGGTATGTAGACATGTAGCTGGAGATTTCAGTCCATTTCCAGAGTACTCTTCCTGATGGCTCTCATGAAACCTCTCACTGACCGACAGCATTTTGCTGCCTGTGGACATACTTCCTTAAGGAGTTAACCCTACCTGACTTGGCTCTTGAAACTGAACTGGACTTCTGTGCAGGTCTGGGTTGAGCTGTGCTGAGTTTTTCCCCTGCTTCATGCAGCTGAGGAAAGGTACTAAAGTAATCCGGGTGTGACTTTCTGATTCTTAGCTGCCCCCGAGCAGCTTGGCGGTTAGCATCTTCTGGGTCTTTTCAGAGACCAGCGATAAGTACCTTACCGTGCCAGTCTCCCTACTGTCCTCCCTGTGGCCTCAGAATTGCCGCTCCCCTTCGTGTGCCTGCTCATCCACCTGCGGGGTGAGAAGACAGAAACAAAGTCGCTTCTGTACAGGATCCAGCTCATTGCTTGGGTTAATATGGAGAAGGCTTAGATGGGTTTGCCCCCCTGCTGAATAGCACTCCAGGCAGCCAGCGATCATTGCTCTCTGGCCTCATCTCCACCGTTCCTTTTGCAGGGCTTTCACTTACACAAGCTTCTAAGAGAAATTGAAGCGTATGAAATTGTAATGAAAATGTCTGAGCAAACTGGTCTCAGTGAAGACAAATGAATCCTTACACCTTTCGGGCGCAAACAGGCGGAACTGCTGCGGAGTGTAGGTCAAAGATGTGACTCCTTGGCACGAAGATCAGGGGCTTAGACTGGAAGTAGGCAAAGACTGCAGAGAAGTGTCCTGGGTTTAACCTCCATTTCAGTAGATTTGCTTTGGGAACTTTTGTCTCCTCCTTGTGTTCTGTCGCCACACCTAAGTCAGGGAAAAAAATTCACAGCAAAGGTATTCCTGGAGGCAGTGAATTTTAGCTGAAGGTGATGTCCTGGTTGAAGAAAGTGATTTCTGAGCTCATTTACATGGATGTTTGCATAGACGTTCTCAATGTGACTCTTACTGTCATAAAACCATACCACTTCTCTGTCTAGTCTGTATTTGCAAAGTGGCAAATGTAGGAAATAGGTTGGCTCCCTGTAGTCGACTGAAAGAGAGAAATTCAGGAAAATGTAATAAGATCAATGATTCATTACTTCGTTTTAAATTGTCCTAGTCTGGGTCATCCTATCTAACTGCAGGTGTCTGGTGTTGATACCTATGTTGGGCATGATTTGTACTAGTCCCTCTCTAAAATGGAAGAAGAGGCAGAGTGACAGCAAAAGTACAAACCTCTGGTGGAGGAGAGGGCTGAGTCTCCTCTGAAGCTACGGTTATCTGCTGATTAGAGGAAGCCTCTGGCTGGCAGATACTTTGGGTGTTTCCACCGTCCTCTCAGATCAGGGGCTTTTTTTGCTTTTACAATTTCAATAAAGAAAATGAAGAGACGCCAGATTTTTGTGGCATCCCCAAAACGGGGACCAAGAGTCACTAGCAGGCTTGGGTGGGCACTGCTAAGCATTTCAGGGCTGGGGGCAGGCACTGAAGAGTCCGGTTACTTATTTCTGTGCTCCCTGGCTACCAGTAAATGCGGTGGTAGTGAGACTGCTGGTAAGGGAAGCTTCTGTCCAGCTCATGTTCACTGCTGAGTCGGTTCCTCACCTCTCTCTTTCCTCCCTGTTCCCGTGCTGTGTGCGACCAGAGCTGGCCGTTGGTATCCAGTGCTTCCCTAATGGGACTGGAGAGTTGTCCTGCAACGTGACCAGCAACGAGAGCACCAGCTTTCGGTGGCTGCTGAATGGCATCAAGCTGAGTGCCCCTGAGGCTTGCATTAAGGATGGTGAGAAGGAGGTTTGCCTGGACAAAACCGTGCCTGGGGAATTTGTGTGTAAGTTTTACCATGGGAACAGCGTCACGAGGACCAGGCCCGTTGTGCTGTCTTGCAGCTATGGTGAGTAACGGCGTCTCCGGAAAATCTCCCTTTTGGTGTCTTGCAGCAGAAAACTAAGGAGTTGTTGCTGTCTGCATAATACTCAACTCTTCTGTCCTCTGGCAGCTGCCTTCCAGACTTACCACATCCTCCCTTTAGAAAGTGTCCCCTTCACTTCCTTCTCCCTCCTGTGTCTCGGACTGACACAGCCTATGACCACAGAAGGGATGAAAGTTTGTTCAGGAGGTCCTTTTACCCAACCCTGCAGCAAGGATGGATCTCTTTCTGTCTGTTTTCCTGCTTCCCAGTGATGAAGACCTTGCATCCTCCTGCGCACCGATCCTCTGTGCCGGTTTAGAAACATGAGCTGCTTCCTACTCTGACATTCATCCATTACCCAGATGGCCTTCCCGTTTCTGCAACGTCCCTGTAAAAACACCTCCGCTAGTTCAGTCCTGTTGCTGCTGGACTCAGCTGAGGTGTTTTGCCTTGTCTCTTTTCTCCTTATCTAGGCCAGCTGCACAGAGATTTACCGGTCTATATAAATGTCTCTCCATCAGCCCCACACCATCAGAGGTGGGGTAAAGACACAAGTCATTTACTTAAGAAATGCAGGGTTTTTTCTCTCCATGTCCCTGCTCGGATATGTAGTTCTGTGAGAAGGCTGTGACTTTATCCATTTGCAAGCTATCCATAGATGCCGAGTACTCTGCTTGAATCAGGCCATAGTTTAATGAGACAGAAAATCCGGATCCTAGGACTGGTCAGAACTGCCAGAACCTCATGATGCAAAGCACTGGTCTGTATCGTAAGTTTATATTTATTTAAAAAAAAAAAAATTAGATAACCTTGGGTGTGATTTCACTTGCATCTCTAGTAGTGAAGGTTTTTCTCCTCTCTGGCAGCGAAGATGGTCATCAAAACTACATCAGGGTGGCATAATTTAACCACAAGGTTTTTGACTAATTTAGCTGTAATTAATTTAATCACATTTGCTACTAGAGAAATTGTACTGTGCAATAGCACCTAGCATTTTAGAAATTGTCTGAGACGCTCCAACTCCACAGCAGATACTGTCTTTTCTTCTATGGTTGGCATACAGTTGGTGTGAAAGCAAAATTACGGACATAAACCCTATATCACGTGTGCTGGCATTCAGCAGAAATGCCGTGGGCTGTTCATGCCTGATCGCGTTGGCGGCACTGGCCAATCTGTACAAGTTTGGCATTTGCGATTGTGGAGCGGTGATCTTAATTTTGTCCAGTTAAATTGGTCAGAGGTTGTTCAGCATAGTCAGACCCAAGTTGGCTGAGGCACTGGGGAATGAGGATGCGAACATCCATGAGCTGTTCAATCAAGCCCTGTGATAAATCACGCGAGTGCTGACAACTACCATTGCTTATTCTGGGTGGCTGCCCAGTCCCCTGGGTGCAATATCGGTTCCCCATTTCCTCTTGAAAAGCCCACAGGGGAATTTAGTGATAGCTCTGTTGGGATGGACACGTGCACGAACACGTATTTGGAAGGCTCTGGGAGCAAGAAAGTAGCAGCGATTCTACTTTTTAGTCACCAAATGCAACCACATTTGTAAAAAGTGAACTAAAGCAATTCTGAATACTAGTAAAATGAATTGAAGAGAGAAACGAATTCAATTAAATTAATTAAAGACTAATTCATTATTTTTGTGGGTTATTATTTGTTCCAGGCAAAGGGCTGAATATAGTTTTTCCACTGTAGGTATAAGACCTATGTAAAAGCACCTACTTGGGCAACCTGTTGGCTGATGAAATTAATTTTGAATAATTGTTAGTGTAAAACAACTTTGCAGAAATACTGTAAACTTCCCAGGCACCAAAGGGCTCTGATCACACAGGATCTAAAGCAGAGGATTCAGAAGTTAACAAGTCAATGTATATAAAAGGCTTTATTGATTCATTACTTGTTTTATTACTTGTTTACTACCGATTTTTAACACAATATTATATCTCAAAAAGACCTTTTTAACAAATGGCAAATTTTTAGGAAAAAATATTCAGGAAAAAATATCTCCAACATATATTTATGCCTTTGACAATATTCTCTAAGCTTTCATCAAAAAGAAAATAAAATTATTAGGGAAATGATTTCTCATTTGCTGAAAGTTTAATTTTGAGTATAGATTTTTTGAACTTGGTAACTGTTTCTAAAGAGGCTGGAACAAGCACTCCGAAAATACTTCAAGTATGTGTGATTTCACACACAGGAGCACCTGTCTACAGTTGTTTTTACTGTTCTGGTGAGTATGTGGACCATGACAGCGTGTAGTATGTCCTGGAACGTTAGAAACACTTCCCAGCCTTTGGGGATATGCAGCAATTTGTGCGTTTGGGGTCTCGAAAACAAGCTCCAAATGAGCCTGTTGGTTTCTGCAGTGCGGTGCTGTGCAGGCGTGTGCGCAGCCAAGAAGCAGCCAAATGATTCAAAAAGGGATGGCATAGGTTTACCTAAGGAGTTTTAAGGAATTTGGATAATAGCGATAGTTGAGCTGTATGGGTTTTTTCGTATGGGAAGAAGAGTTTTCCTGCTGGCTGCCCCAGGTTGGAGCACACTGACTCAGTGAAGGAGCGAGTCTGGACGGGTCTCTCTTTTCTGCAAGTCTGTGATGCCCTCTACCAGCTGCCCTGCTCAGCAGCAACGTATGTGCAAGTCTGACCCGTCAAAGCAACCCTGAGCAAGGGACTCTGAACTGGGTAATAATTACCACTGACTTGTGTGTGGCCTTCTGCTCAGCCATCTGTAGTCGTCGCCTCCTGCTAGGCGTTTCGCGTGATCTCGGTTGGGAAGGGGAATAAAGAGAAATCCTTCCCCGAGCAGCAGTGAAGCCGGTTTCCCACCGCTCTGACTCGGGTGGCTGGAGTCTCTGGTGCCTGAGGAAGTGCAGGCTCTGATCAGACTTGCTTTGAGGTTGGCGTAGTTGTTACATGGCAGTCCTAAGTGGAATCTCTGGGGCCTAATACAAGCTCTGAGGGTAGACTCCGCAGCTTTTCTTTCAGCAGAAGATGCTAGCTTAGGTCTCCCTCCTCTTCTCAGCTGCCTGTTTTCATAAAACTTGTTGAAATGTAGTATCTTTCAAACCACCACCTTCCCTGTTAAATTTGATTAAAACTTATGAACTACCTTAGATGTTACTGGTCAGAGTAGGCAGAAACAAATGCACGCGGCTTAGTCACACAAGCATCTTAACGAAAAATTCCATACCATAATTAAACAATGTGACATAAATCACGATATGCCACAGTTCACAGCATCAGCCCCCCCGATCCAAACCAAAGCAACAGTAATGCCGACATGCTCTAATCTGGCTGCAGGGTTTCTCCCGTTTGCAGAAAGAAGCTTGTCCACCCTGGTAACTAACAACGTCATGTCCTTCTTGCAGGAGACCTGCTGCAATACCCGTGGTTCATTTACATCCTGGCAGGGTGCGCAGGGGGTGCGGTTATCCTGGTGGTGGTTGTGTCCTCAGTCATATGTTGCTGCATGAAGAGGAAACACAAGTTCATCCCGGTGCCTTCAGGTGAGTGGAGAACACTGTTGCCCCCTGGGATGAGTCTCACAGAGGACTCTGTTTGTGCAGGCTGGGGTTGAAATAGCCTCAGCATAAACTGGTCTCAGGTGGGTGGCTACTTGTCTTCCAGCCAGCCTTCCCTTGACCTGGTGGAGCAGAAAGCTGCTTGTTGATAGGCAACTGTTACGACCAGCGGGGTCTTGAATTAAACCTTACTTTTCCTTTTTTCACCTCACGCTTGCCACCACGTGCTCCTGGCCAGAAAGAAACACAGCAAAACCTTTTCTATGGGCAAGAAAACTGAGCCTCATTCAGGTCGGATCCTGAAATGACCTGAAGGCTTCTGATGGCAGTCCTTTGTCAGCACCAGTCCCTGAGTGCAATCTGCCCATGCCCAGTGAGGCCACCTCAAGCTGTGATCCTGCCAGCATCGCCAAGCTGGTCTCTGACAGGTTGCAATGGCCTTCTGTACTCGGCATCTGTCTGCTCCAGGAATGGAGCCAGTGCCGCATGAGGAGGAGATGCAAGCATGTGTTGGTGGTCTGGCCTCGCAATGACCATGCTGAGGCTGCTGGGATGTGGGGGACCTCTTTCCTTCAAGTCTCTGGTTTTTGTTTTACAGAGGAGGAGAAGGATGACGGACTAACAATGTCCGTGGTCTCCAGTGAAGGTGTGAAGAGCCCCCCCAACGGAGACCCTGTTGAGGCTCAAGCTGCCCAAATCGACTGCCCTCCAAAGCCTGGTGGGTCCAGTGACTTGTTTGAAGTCAGACAGATAGCTTGTTTAGGAGGGTGAAGGACAAAATGGATGTGTGTGGCTGATGAGGGAGGAGCTGACTGTAGAGAGGGGCCTCGGACTCACTAGCGGAGGGAAGGTGCTGCATCTTGTCCAGACGACAGAAGTTGCAGCAGGTCATTTATCAGTACCTTACTCGTGCTCGGCTTCTGCATGGGGGGTAGCTCTTGCCCTCACCCAGCCATGAGATGTAGCGGCAGCTGTCTCATAAGCATCCCACAGAGAGTACTACCAGCAGACTGCAGACTGTCTGTTCCAGTATCTCCTGTGCTAAAATACACATCTCAAAACCAGCAACCCCCCAAAACTTAGCAGTTTTCCTGCAATTTTATCACACACACACTCTTCTCATGAGTAACATTTTATGAAAATCAGCATTGTTTTTGTAAGCAGTCATCTTCAGGACAGCACCCACCAATATGCTGAGCTGTAAACACAGCTAAATCCCATCAAAGTCAGAGGCTTGTGTATTTCCTTAAATTGCGGCTAAAGTGGGAATACGGTCACATTTTAAATCCTTCAAAGAAATTGAGAATAAAACCTCACAGCTTTAGCACAGTATGGTCAAGAGAGCGCAGCGATAAAAACCTTCTAGAAATCTCCTGTTCTGTGAGTGCTTGATATTAATATTCCACTTTTTGCATTATGTTTCCCTCAATTTTGTTTCACAAACATGAATGCTGGCAACACCTTCCCTAGTAATGCACCATCATCAATATGTCTAGCAGAGACATCATGAACTGGAGCACCATTACATAGGTCACAGCCTGGTCTCAGCACTACTGTCTTCACTTCTGGTGTCCTTCACTGTACCATGCGCAGCCTCTCAGCAGCTCAGCTATGCTTTATGTCTACCCATGGATGCTGCTTTGCTCTGCTTTCAAAATATTAAATGCTACTCGTGAACATAGTGCAAGAAAGGGAAAAAAAAAAGTCATTCAGGTCATTGTTTAATATTAATATACTTAAAGTGTAGAACTTTTTTTTAATAAAAAAATTATGCATTGTCAGTTTGACTCACAAAGTATCCCATATTTAAATTTTCTACAAATAAGTAAAAAGCAGAGGTGCGTGTGGAAAGTGTTTAGGTAAGAACATATTAAATGTGTGCTGTTAGCCAGCTTTAATTACTCAGATGTAACTGAATAGATTTGGCTTTGGTGTTTTGGTATATTCTGGGCAGTTGAGCCCAGAAAGCTTCAGCACCAAAGTGTCTAAAGCCACGAGGGACAGCTCAATAAATGAGTAGTTACACAGAAAATTGAAATTTGACTTGCAGACACCTGGGGAGAGGGGACTGAGTGGGTTAGGCAGCCTGCAGCATCAGGGACTGGGAGGAGGATTTCCATGAGAGTGAGCATAGCGTAGGCACTTATAAACTGTTTCTCCCTTCTTTTTCAGACACTGCCCGGACTGGTCAAGGCATTGAGCCCCAGCTGCTAGTGGAAGAAAACTTACCAGTGGAGATAGAGCCTGAGGAAATGCCAGACCCAGAGGTCATAGTTGATGTGGAAAGCCAGGAAAATGCCTCGGACTGTTTCCCGGATCCGACTGATGACTGATCTGGCATGCTTGCTGTTCCACCCTGTCTTGAAGCCTATGACACCCGTCCTTTGCATCCCATAGTCTCATTGTGTGTAAGAATTGGTCCGGAAAATTTTAGCAGGGGAAAGACGTGAGGTGTCAGGCCTGCTAATGTCATTTAAAAAAAAAAAAAAGAAAAAGAAAATATAGGGAAAAGCACATGCATGGCTTAAAGGCCGCACTGCCGTGGGCTGACAGGTTCACTAACAAACAAAACTGGGCAGCTCTTTGATGCTTCGCCTGTTAATAGACCTGCAGCTAAACTGTGGAGCCCTAGAGGACAGCCTGAAATGAGACAGGCGGTTCCTCCTGCTCCCTGCCTAAAGGCCGCACTGCCGTGGGCTGACAGGTTCACTAACAAACAAAACTGGGCAGCTCTTTGATGCTTCGCCTGTTAATAGACCTGCAGCTAAACTGTGGAGCCCTAGAGGACAGCCTGAAATGAGACAGGCGGTTCCTCCTGCTCCCTGCCCACCCCACGCCTTCCTATGTCTTTGCCAGCCAGCGGTTCCTGCAAGGGGCAGGCATGACAGGCGGATTGAGGTGTCAGTCCCAGACAGAAACAAAGACCTGCCAGAAATTTCCTGAGAAAGCCTCTTCTCAGGAGATTTCAAGGCACTTTTCACAGGCCCTGCAAAAAAAGCTCGATGGTGGTTTCAGCTAGGTATCTGCTGTGCCGGGTGTTTATCTGAATCGTTCCTCTGAGCTCTACGCCCTTTGTGATTTGGCCCTCACCGCTTGCTGTGTGGGGCCAGGAGTGGTGGTAGGGGCTGCTGCATGCAGACCCCGGGAGGTGAGGCTGGCTTGCTCGCCTTTTGATGCCCTGTAATGGCAGGGGGCTACTGATTACCTTTTGCCAGAACCTGAACTGCTCGGGTTGCCAGTGAGTTAAAACAGCTCTGTCACTAGCTTGCTTGCTTGCAGCAGAACGGTGCCTGGGGCTTGGGTGTGTAATTTTGGCAGAAACATTTATTATAATGCTGAGATGGTTCATCAGTGCAAGCATTAGTGCCTTTAGTGTAATGGTTTAGCTACTGCAAGCTGATTAAGCTGGCCATCTGCCTGTGCATGTAGGCTTTTTCAGTGCTGTGTTATTTGCACAGACAGCAGCAATTTATAGGATCTCTTAGGCAAGTCTTGCTGCTACACACGTCCTGTTCCGCTCAGGGGAGGTCTGCGAGTGGAGCAGCTGGGGTAGACCTGCAGGGAAGAAGGACAAGGTGAGGCGAGGGCAAGGACTCGGTCCCAGGCAGAAGGTAGCTGAGTCCCTGGCAAAGCTGCCAGGGGCAGCAGGGCTGTCAGGCTACGGGGAGTGCTGCAGGATGCACTGCCAGGGCAAGGTATTTACTGTGTAAGTGCATTTTGGTAGTCGGAAGCGAGGCATGTTGGTGTTAAACTAGCCGAAAGGGCTAGAAAGGCATGGTAGAGTAAAAGCAGAGATGGTACAAATTGGAGCCGAAAGGGATGGGGAGGTGTGTATTGCATTCCTCTCTTCCCTTGTCATTTTGTCCCTGTTTTATATTGTGCTGACATTGTGCCATGAATCCTTTGGAAACGGATTTAAGGTGTGCCTTGTAAATACCACCCAACGAGGTCTGCAAGTACCCCAGCAAAATCAAAACCAAACTGAACGCTTCTCTTCCAGGCGGGGGAGCTGGTGGGACGGCTGCATGCTTACCTGGAAGTCTTAATGTCTGTGTACATGGCAAAGCTCTGCATAGGTGACACCCAGCCATAGGTGGTTGTTCTTGTTGTTTCCTTGTCCTGTGACTCTTTTTAGAAGATTTTTGGATCTTGTGTGCTGTGTTGGTGGTGATTCAGCCTGTCTCTGCTTTTTAAGGCTGCCGTAGGAATCAGATTTTCCACGGTAGGAGGGAGATAATAATTCTTTTCCTCATGGTGCTGCGCTATCTCCTTTCAGTACAAACATTCCTCAAAGGCTGTGAGTTGAATGACAAAAATGTGACGCCGCGCGCTTGGGGTGGCAGCTGCCTGTAGGCAGCACAGTGGCGGCGACGCTGGGTGAACAGGGGCCAGCATCACCGAAATGGGGGGACGTAGTCAGCTTTGCTTCTCTTCTGCAATTTCTGGCAGAGGCAGGCAGGGGACAGTCGACTCCAGTACATGCTTCGAAGGCTGAACGGTGCTCTGAGCTGTACTGGAGAAGATGCCAGCGTTTCAGGTGCTGAGGGTGACAGAGCTGGGCCAGCCTTGTCCCGCTGGGCTGGTGCGTCCCGGCTCCAGCTTGCCCTAGTGCTGCCTTGCTGCTGTCAGCCCTGGGAGGGCTGGGGGTGCCCTGGCAGCTGTTAGCACCACCACTGGTGCAAACCCAGACTGGGAAGGATTTTTCCCATTGAGATGGGAATCTGAGACTCGAGATGTCTTTATGAGGCAGATAGGACATGGCTGGTTTTCTGTCCTTCCCTGCTGAAGATGCTGTTCAGCAACGGGGCAAAGGTTTCTGTTACTGTGAGGTCAGGAGAGAAGTGATGCAGCCTGTGCTCTTCCTTTAACTGTATGTGTTCATGCCCAGCTATTGTTCTTTTTTGGTGTTTTTTTTTCTTTTTCCCGTGATGATTTTGTTCCTAATAAAAAGATCTGTTTTCTAGCTTGTTTCGGAAATGTTTAAGTTCTGTTATTTAATAATTGTTCCTTTGTGGTTTTCACTGAAAGTACAGGCTGGTTTCCAAATTTTCACCCGGCCAAATAAAGGAAAGGTGATAACAAGTTACTGCTGACTAGAGCTGACTTGGGTAGTCTAGGCAACAGAGATCACAAGGACATTCATTTGTAAGTCAGTCCAGGAGAGGCTGTAGGGCAGTGGCATATAACTAGTCCCCATCGGAGTGTGTGTGCTAATGTGCCTGCACATCCGTGTGCACCAGCAGCTCACCAAACCCTGCTCTGGTGCCTTGCCCGAACTGTGAGGTGCAGGGAAGGGATGCAGGGAGATGGTCTTGTTTTACCCATCTTTATCCATCTGTATTTTTTTGTGATACCTAAGCCACCTTAGCTGTGAGAGAGGGTGCTTGACTGCATAGCTCATTTTGCAAGGAGGAGGTGACTCTCTCATACTCAGCCTTAGACAAGTGGGCCCAGACGGTGGGTAAAACCAATGTCCTGATGGTTTGTGATCATATAAAATCCCTTGACTCTACCATTACAGGGTTAGCCCTGGAACAGTGGTGTGACTGGACATGGGTGATCCTGTCCTGCAGCCTGTGAACCCAGCACCCCAAGGAGCCACCTGCCCGAATTTGCAGTTGTTTTCCAGCCTGACTATGGTGCTGCGTCACCCAGGCAATAGCGAGGATACTTTTGGGCCTGGGGCTATCCGGCAGAGTAACAGGTATGGATGTACACGGTGCTATCAGGAGTTTGACCGGAAACAGCGATGTCTGCGCTGTCTCTTCAGGGCTTCTGGTGGCCTTGGTGAGGCTGTGCCATGACAGCCCTACCCTCCGGGTTGCTGAGGGAGCCCTTGGTGCTGGGGTGCGTCCGGGTGCCTCTGGCCTCCTGTGGGGAGCTGGTGCTTTCCAGGGGAGGGGAGCCGCACGGAGAGCTGCCAGCCACGCCGTCCTCTCCGGCCACTGGTTCTGGCTGGGGAAGGCTGGGAGTAGGGCAACGTCCATCCCTCTGCTCATCGAGAGCTGGCGGGACAAGGGGAGCTCTGCTCTGTGGGAAATGCGGATGTTTTGGGATATGGTTTCTTCCCAGCTGAGGCAAACCACCAGTGGTTTATAGTACTGTACAGAACGGACATTTAGATTTGTATCCATGTCAATGTTTCGTGGCGGGAAGAGAAAAACTTCCCTCTGCTTGTGGCATATGCTAAGCAACAAATGACATGAAATGTAGTATGTAGTCTTTTCATCATGTAATTCATGCAGTTTGTGAATATAAAAGGAGAACAGATAATGATCTTACTTGACTTCAGATATAGGTGAAAGCAAAAGCAGAAAAGAAACATGTTGTATAACAGCGAGCAGAGAAAGGGGAATGATCCCTTTAGATTTTTTTAGCATTCAGGAGGAACACATCCCCACAAAATTCTCAGGTCAGTAAAGCTCCCCATCCCAGTAATGAAACAGTTTGTGCTCTGCTTTCCAACCTCTACCCCAGGCTGCCATGCCTGATGTCCCGGTGGCTGTGTACATAGCCCTTGGGGTCCTCCCTCGGAGCCCAGCACAGGGGCAGAGGCACCAGGGCAAGAGCCAGCCGTTTGTGGGGAGCTGGAGGACCAGCCCTCCCCGCAACCATCAGCTCTACAGAAACAACAGAGTGGAAGCTGGTGAGTCTGAGGGCAGATAGACAAAACTGATAACGGGCCAGTTTACAATAGCAAATGAAACGTTCATTGTAAATACTGAAGAGGCATGCAAGCAGTGGTTGTGTTAACTTCTGATGAAAATCCCGGTGTAGCTGAAAAAAACCTCTAGATTTTAAGCATGTGCATAGTAAGTTCATGTCACTTCTTATGAATTATCGCAATTCATTTCAAAATAAGCAAACAAGAAGATTTCATGTGTAACTCAGCTGTAGGATACAGTGTCACTGATAGATACCTTCAAAACCATTTCCTTAACATTAACCAACAAATTGTGGTGGTGTTATAAGATCCAGAAGTGTAGGTATTACTACCACCAGGCAGGGAGGAGTGAGATGCCCCGTGGACTTCCATAGGTAAACACACAGAACCAGTAACCCAAGTGGGCAAGAAGAGCAGCATCACCCATTTCTGTCTGAAATGGAAGCAGGATTAGGTGATGTGTCATCGCAGAGGCTTGGATTAGTGTTTGGGTATTGCTTGTGCCTTCGGCCAGGCTGCTCAGTGCCTTGGTGCAATCAAATGCACCTGCCTGTAGGAGGCTAGTGGTGGTGAAGTCCCTCCTGAGCATATGCAATGCTCCCCTCTTGTCCTATGGTGTAAAACAGGCTGGGAAACATCATCATCACCCAGTGGGGACCCTGTGGCCTT